TCAAGGCCAGCCTCAGCAACTCAGTGAGACCCTGTCTCTAAAAAAAATACAAAAAGGGACAGGGGATGTGGCTCGGTGGTTGAGTGCCCCCTGGGTTCAATCCCTGAAATAATAATAATAATAATAATAATAATAACAACAACAATAACAACAGATAAATAGAAACAGATCCAAGGTGAAGAAGTATTTACTAGAGAAAACAATTTTTTAAAGTAAAGAATGAAACCCCCAAAGAAAAGAAGGAAATAGTATTGTGTATTTGTCCAATTTCAGGGAAGAGAGGTCAAAATCTTTGAGCCCAAATACAAGGGCAAAATTTAACTATGAAGTCATTGAAGTGGCACAAGAAACAGGTGCAGTTCAACTTCATGGCTGCGAGTGGATTTAGTGTGATCCCTTGGACTAATCTAAAAAACCTTTACAACGTCAATATACTTTGACCTAATAATTCCATTGGGAATTTACCTTAAAATAATAATTGGAGAAGAACCCCAAAAATTTTATGTACAAAATCTGTCCGCTTGCACTCAGGCTGTCGTGTCTCAGGACAGGCTCTGGAGGCACCCAGACCAAAGGTCCAGGGAAAGTTCTGGTGAGACAGTTTAGAAAATGCTTGCTCTTCTCTAAGGAAACAGCCATTAATTTCACTCTTCAGTGAGGACAGTTCTTTATACAAAGTACTCCACAGGATACTCATCTGAGCAGCTCTTCCATTTATATGATTTCTTTTCGATTCATCATTTGAAATAATTTATACCATTTCTTTTGAGTTCACCATAGAGTTGCAAAGTTTATATAAAATCCTTATATAGAGGGCGGGGGTGTAGTTTGGTGGTATAGCACTTGCCTAGTATGCACAAGGCCCTGGGTTTAATCCCAAGCACTGCGGGGAAAAAAAAAAAAAAGAAAAAGAAAAAGAAAATTGTTATATGTAAATGATGAAGTCTCCGTTTTTTTGAAAGAAGGCAATAACTACTTAGTGCAATAGCTCAGACCTGATAAAGTTTGTTTAAAAAATGCAAAGACATTTTATGTTAAAAGTTCATGTTTAGCTGGGTGTGGTGGTGCATGCCTGTAATTCCAGAGGCTCAGGAGGCTGAGGCAGGAGGATCATGAGTTCAAGGCCAGCCTCAGTAACTGAGGCCCTAAGTAACTCAGCAAGACCCTAACCCCCTGGGTTCAATCTCCAGCATGTGCATGCACACACACACACAAACACACACACATTTATGTTCAAAGACAACTTGCAATTTGTATAGGTAAAGGGATTGTTAATTACCTATGTGCAGCTGAACTTTAAATAGTAATTATAATTCGTAAAGTAATTTTCAAACATATAACTTAATTGAAATGAACTAAAATTGCAGATCATGTGGTATCAACAAGTCCTGGGCTGACTGGTCCCTTGGAGAGGCAGGAGAGGGACCTGTCAGTGTCCTGTGACCCAATGCCTGTCTTCACAAGTATAGCACCTCTGTGAGCCCAGTGAGGAGTGTGATGGGAAGTGGAGGCTTCTCCAGAGGCAAGGACTTTTTGTTGTACTTTTGGACAGATCATAAGGCTCTCACTTTCCTTCACATTAATACTCATTTAAATCGAGGAATACTCTGTATGCTGCTGTGGCCTTTTGAGTACAGAGTAAGATTGTAATTCTTAGCCCCAGTTGCTGTTTGGATCTTATATGTCCCTCAGAGGCCCCTGATGTACAGTCTTCGGTCCCCATTGTGGTGCAATTGTGAGGTGATGGGGACTTTAACAGGTTGGCTTAGTGGGAGGTCTTCTGGTCAGTGGGAGTGTGCCCTGGAAGGGGAAGAGGGGACCCAGCCCCTTCTCCTCCTCTTTTTCACCTCCTGGCCTTGAAGTGAGTGATTTGCTCTCTTATGTGCTCCCATCAGATTGACCCACAGAGAGCCAGGGCCACTCAGTCATGAACTAGAAACTCCAAAACTGTGCTAAAATAAACCTTTTGTCTTTATAAGTTGATTTACTTCAAACATTTGCTACAGTAATGGAAAACTGACTAACACAGCTCCATCTACTCCCTTGTGATTGGGCCATGTGATCAGTTCAAGATCAAGTTTTCAATTGCTTATATGAGACCCTCCAGAGCTCTATTTGTCTGTCTCCATTCCAAATAGTGGGTACTTGATCAATGAATCTTCCAAGATAACCCATGACAGGCAATGAATATGTAGCACAAGAAGAAAAAAACCTTCATCATTTTAAGCCACTGAAGTTTGGGGTTTTATTTGTTACTGCAAAGGAATTCTACTGATTAGTCCAGTGCACATCTATAATCCCAGCTACTTGGGAGGCAGGAGGATTGCAGGTTTGAGGCCAGCCTCAGCAACTTAGTGAAAACCTGTTTAAAAAAAAAAAAAAATATATATATATATATATATATATATATATATATATATATATATATTTGGGTTTGGGGGGGGGGAATAACTCAGTGGCAGAGTACTCTTGAGTTAAAACCCCAATGCCACAAAAACAAAAAACAAAACAAAACAAACAACAACAACAACAACAAAAAGAACTGATTAATGAGATTCTTTGGAGATGCTGAGGAGTCTGCTATCTGGAAAGTCTCCTGGCCCCTATAGGAAACACCACTGTGCTTGCTAATCAAATCTTTCTCCTCTCACCATTCCACATCATTTTTGATATTACACATGGAGAGAAACTACCTTACTTTTACTTTCTTTAAAATGGTCAATTCAAAGTCAAAATTTTGCAAAGCAAGCTTCAAATCACACAAAGCTTTAATGATGAACTTCCATAAAATAGTTAGGAATTTTTTTCTTTTTTAATGTTCTAGAAAAATCCAACCTCACCTAATCCGGTGTGACATCTACTCACATGGCTGTTGCTCTAGTTACAAAGAAAAAAAAAATTAAATCATGAAACATGACTGAGCGGTTATTAAATAGTATCTAGTCCCTAATGGCAAATTCATTTTCATTTAATAACAAGTTATTGTGAAATATAATGAAAAATAGAGTGGCATGCAAAATAAGCTGGCCTCTGTGTTCATTGACATTGTGCCAGTTTCTTGGGTGCAGCATTACCATACTATCCATCTTCATAAAGCACTCTTTGGAAGGCATTATTAAACAGCGGGGAGGGATGGCAGATGACAGCTTCATTAGTCATGACTAGGTAATCCTGGCCAATTTCTCTGGGGAATTATTAACACATTCTTAAACATCCAAAAAAGAAGAGAAAGAGATTGGTTGTAAGATATTGGACATTATCCAAGTCCAAGTTTCTTTGGGGCCTGGAGCAGTCACTCTTCCCCAGAGATCCCTGGAATGTCACTAGGGAGTGGGACCTTATGAGCCAGGATGGACCAAGACCTCAAAGCCCTTGCCATTGCTGAATACACAATCTGTGTGACATTTGACTGGTAGACAAATGGAGGTTGCATTGTTTGACGAGTGGATGAATTACCTGCAACTCATTCTTGTCTGGCTTGAAGACAGGAGCTCCAAGATGCTGTGTCTGGGAGCCCAGTAAATGCATCCTAAGCCCACCAGAACCCAGCAGCAAAATCCCAGCAACCAGCCATCCCAAGTTAGCAAAAGATTTTCCTCATCCCCCAGAGCTTGCTCCATTTGTCTGGGCAGTTTGAAAAGATCCTGAGTGTTTCCATGACCTTCTCTAATGACACTGTCATTTGGTTTCTTGGTGAGTCATCTGGGTGGGGTTTGAGAGTGGTTCGGGAATGGTTTATTCTGCAGGCCAACAGAGTTTGAACCACCCGCTAAGACAGCAGTAACCGTGTGTGAAGCTCTCTGCTTATTTCATGGTGCAGCAAAAGGGTTTAAGAACTGGAGTGAGACGTGAGCTCAAGTGTTTGATCTGCCCCTTACCAGTTGTGGGACCTTGGGCAAGTTAATTAACCCCTCTTAGCCTTAGTTTTCTCAAAACAGGGGTAATAATAGAGATCAGAGAGCTGTCATAGGGCTTTGTGAGAATTAATTAATGTAATTAGGTAAAGCACTTGGCAAAGTGTTTCAACAAATATTTTCCCCTTTCTATAAATAAATTCATGGGTTCTGCATCTGTGGATTCAACCAATCATGATTCAAAATGTTTTTTTAAAAAAACTGCATCTGTTATAAACATGCACAGACTTTTTTTTTGGTCATTGTTCCTTAAGTAATATAGTTATGTATTACTTAAGCATTTACAATGCATTACAAAGCAATTGCGTTGTACGAGGTATAATAATTCAGAGACGATTAAAGTCCGCAGGAGGATGTGCACAGGTTATATGCAAATGCTATGCCATTTTATACCAGGGACTTGAGCATCTGAGGATTTTGGCACGGGGGGAGGGCCTGGAACCAATCTTCCTTGGATACAGAGGGATGACTGTATCTGTAAACTATGTCCTGCTCAAAAACAAAAGCAAAAATAATCAGATTTACAGAAAAGAGACATTGTTATGAGTTACTCATATTATCCTGCCTACTACCCCAAACTAAGTTGTAAGTGCCTGTTTTCATATACTTTTAAAAAGGACGAAGGTGATGGCCAAATAATAATGACTGCACAGGACACGGGATACTAGTTTAATTTTCACATTGACTCTTACTATCCCCATTTTTGAGATGAGGAAATGGAGGCACAGAGCAGAAATATGCTGCCCAAAGACACATAGCAGTATATTTATTCTGTTTTGGAAACCAGTGTGCCTGCAGAGTCTGTGTTCTTAACCATCACCATCATAATTATGAATTTTTGTTAAGAATTCTCTGCTTTTTTTTTTTGATATCAGGGATTGAATGCAGGGACACTTCACCACTAAGCTCCATTTCTAGCCCTTTTTATTTTTTATTTTGAGACAGGGTCTCACTAAATCTCTTAGTGTCTTGCTCCATTACTGAGGCTGGCCTTGAACTTGTGATCCTCCAAACAGCAAGTGTTCTAAGGGCATTGTGTTAATCAGCTTTCTATCACTAAGACAAAATACCTGAGATAATCAACTTATAAGGAGAAAAAGTTTACCTTGTCTCCTGATTTCAGAAGTTTCAGCCCAGGGTCTTTTGGCCCTGATGCTTTGGGCCTGTGGTCAGGCAGCACGTCATGGTATGAGTACCTGGTGGAAGCGCTGTTCACCTCTTGCCACTGGGAAGCAAAGAGAGAGGTGTGAGGCAGGGGCGCCATGTCTTCTTCAAGGGCACAATCCTAATGGCCTCACTTCCTTCATCAGACCCTACTCCAAAAGTTTCCATCACCTCCCAACAGTGCCACAGGCTGGTGACGAGCCTTTAGCATATATCCTTTGAGGGGACATTTAAGACCCAACCTATAGCGGGCACTGAATCATTCACAGGTTCCTAGTCTAGGATTCTCCCCTTCTACTCTCTACCCAGCTACAGTCCACACTCAAGGCCGGGGTCCCTCAGGGAGCCTCCTTGGACCTTCTCTTCGTCTTCTCTCTACCATTCTAGCTTCATTCATTCCACAACCCACTCAGACCATTTGAGTCCTTCATTCATCAATTGCTTCCAAGAAGATGAGCCAGGGTGACAACTGAAGAGGGTGACAGAATGATACAAGCAGGGACAAGAGAAAGTCCTCCAACAAGAGAGAGCAGGGGAGAGAAAGGAACTGAAGTGTGGTTCAATGACAAGGTGGATTTCATTTTATTTTTTGCGGTGCTAGGGATTGAACCCAAGGCTCCAGGCAGGCTAGGCAAGTGCTCTACCCCTGAGCTCCCTCCCCAGGTCTGGATTTCAGTTTTAAATATTCCATATCATAAAAGTCTGAACTTTTTTTTTTCTTTGCTGCCTCTGGCTTTTGTGAAAGAGCGATATGTTTTTTTGCTTTAGGCAACATGAAAGAATCTTGGTTTTAGTGATTCCTGACAGCAATTGAATTTGTAGCAGTGAAAATTGTGAAAATTTTTTTCATGACTTTTGTCTTTCTTTGAGTTCAATTTAATAAGAGTATCCTTTTGGGGAGTGGGCTAAGATTAGGAAACTACTTCAATTACTTATTTCCTGTTTTAAAAAGATGTTAAAATTTTAAATTCCAACTGGAATTTAATACCAATGATGATCAATTTAATAAATATTGATCAAGTCCTTAATACATGCCTGGCACAGTGCCAAGCCCCCCAACACAAACATGGGTGAAGATCTTCTCTGCCTTGGAGGAACCTTGAGCTTAATGGGGACTTCTCAGACTTGGTGGCATCCAGAGAGCCTGTTAGAGGTCCTCTGCCTGGGCTCCACTCCAGCTTGGTCTACTCGATGAGGTATTTCTGAAGCATCCCAATGCACAAGACTCTCTGGATGGGGCACACACTATAGGTACCTTCCCGTCCCTCACAGACCTGGCTTTAGAGAAAGTTATCCAGGATTTCATAGGCTCCATGGACACTTCTGTAACCCTGTTTGCATTGAGTTCCTTAAATTGCAGTAGGTTCATGCAAAAGGAGGGCGCACAGACGGGTGAGGTCAGGAGACAGATCTCATGTGACAGCTGAACAACACAGACTCTTGTCAAAAAGTTTAGAAGACCAAATTTGCATTGGGTCATTGTGAAATATCTTTGAACTTCTTTTTTTTTTTTAAAAAAAAAAAACATCTGTTCCTTTTATATATATAGATAGTACAGTGGGGAAATATCTTAATTTTAGAGGTTTTTTGGGGAGATGGGGGTCCCCAGGCATTGAACTCAAGGGCACTTGACCACTGAGCCACATCCCCAGCCATATTTTGTATTTTATTTAGAGACAGGTTTTCACTGAGTTGTTTAGTGCCTCACTAAGTTGCTAAGGTGGCTTTGAACTCGTAATCCTGCCTTAGCCTCCCAAGCCACTGGGATTACAAGTGTGCACCACCACATACATCCAGCTTCATTTTAGAGTTTTTAATATTAAAAAATATTGATTGAAAGAACTGTTTCAAGGGTCTATCTTGTCTTCCAATCTGCATAAGGTCAAAATAAATGTTATTGTACTAAATCAAACTTTTACACTCTGCAAAAGCCCAGTTTAATAAATTCATATATGATTTGATTATGCACAATATGTTCTTTGCACTTCTAAAAATCTCAAATTGCCAATTAAAAATAATTTTGTTAATCTAGTTGTTTTCCCCTTCATGGCTTCAAATTCTAGAATCTGTCGCTCTGATAATATTCTCACCCTATCTTACATTTTTCCCCACAAAATAAAACAAAAGCAATTTTATTATAGCCACGTATGAACATGGCAAGATGAATCTCACTGTTTGGTATAATTATAATGCACCAGCAAAAATGAATAAGCAAACAAAGGCAATGATATGAATAGCTCTTACTTTGCAAGTAACTCGGATGAGGTCACCATGCTGAGCTTTACTTGACACAATTTTAGCTGACCCAATCTGAAAAACAAGAACAAGATTGCACAACAGCAGAGGTGTGTGTGTGTGTGTGTGTGTGTGTGTGTGTATTGGAATTGGAATCATTTTCATAGAGTACTGAGTAGTTTATGGAGAAACTTGTTGGTAATAACTTGGTTTTGCACTTAATTTGCTATTTCAACAAAGCCATTTTGAGTTCCGGCTGTGAACACTTCCGATATTCCAGGGCTATAGATATTGTTTTTCTTTGCCAAAGGATCAAGGGGTGGTGGTGACATTTTCTATGTCAAGGAATGCAAGATCATCAACGGGCGGAGGATTGAGGTGATGCTCTCTTCCCATCTCCCAGAGAAGAGGGGCAAGAGAGTTGGTGAGAGGTGGATAGGGACAGAAGTGAGATTTAGGAGAAATGGATCTGGCCATGCAGGTGAGAGCAATGATGAAGAGGCAGGCCAGTGGGGTTGGCAATGAGCTGAAATTGGACTTACAGACAGACAATAATTTGATGTACAATTATGTGAACATAATAAAGGGAAAACAAGAATTATTTATCCAATGGTTTTCCTATACAGATTAAAATTAGGGGGAAAGCACGATAGATTCTTATTTATTTAGTGGTACTGAGGATTGAGCCTAGAGTTTCTCTTCCACTGAGCTAAATCACAGCCCTTTTAATTAATTTATTTATTTTGAAACAGGGTCTTGATAAGTTGCTGAGGCTGGCCTCAAATTTGTGATCCTCCTGCTTCCCAGCCTTCCCAGTTGCTGGGATTATAGAGGTACGTCATCACACCTGGCTAGGTTCCTCCTTTAAACCAGAGTCTGAAATTAATTTAACCTAGTGCTCATTGATTGTTTTTAATTGTCCCTCTTTCCCTCTGCCCATCCTCCACTGAGCAGGAGGGCTGCTTGGTAGCAAGCAGGATCGCTGGTGCCATGCCGTGGGGCTGACCTCGGTTCTAATACCACCGAGCTCCAGAACTGATGTGGAATTTGGGTAAAAGAGACAAATTCCAGGAGGCTGAGGCAGGAGGATCGCGAGTTCAAAACCAGCCTCAGCAAAATCAAGGCACTAAGTCAGTGAGACCCTGTCTCTAAATAAAAATACAAAATAGGGCTGGGGATGTGGTTCAGTGGTCCAGTACCCCTGAGTTAATCCCTGGTATTAGAGAGAGAGAAAGAGAGAGAGAGAGAGAGAGAGAGAGAGAGAGAGAGAGAGAGAGAGAGAGAGAGAAATTCCAACTTTCCCAGACATAAACTTACGGGAAACCAAATGAAGATTATCACATTTATTGTCTGGAAGGGAGAACTTGGGAACACAAAGCTTTACCCTGGCTCTTAGAGTGCCCTTGGCATTCAGTCGATGGTAAACAAAAGTGGGTGGACAAAATGACTTCACTGCGTGGCGGGCAGTGCCCATGGGTTGTAGCTCTTGTTGCCTGACCCTGAACTGACCTCAGAGTTTCTTGAAAAATCCTGCAAAGAGTCCTCTCACCCTCAAGGGCCTGCTGGGAGCCTTTCTCTGATATTCCAGAACAAAAGTGAGAATCAAATGCAGCATGTTAAAGACACAGGCAGAAGAACATGGCCAAGATCAACTCTGAGCCTTCCAAACAGGGGTGGCTGTGGCCTCTGGCAGGAAACACTCCCCCCTCCCTCTTCCCTGCCTAGTCCCTGGGATTTAATGTCACAAGAGAAGCAGGGGTGGGGTGGGGATCTGGGTGAGAACTGGGTGGGCCTCCCTTCTCCCTCCAACAGGTGGAACATTCTCCCAATTTCACTTACTGTGTCTCAGGCCACTTCCCGGGCTTGGCCTCCCCTGGGTCTGCAGTGTGAACCCATTGTTCTTGGAAGGAGGCGGATGGTGCACACGTGTGCCAAACTCCTGTAGCTCTGGTTGATCCTGGCTTAGGAGTGATCATCTGCTGACTGTGATAGGGGAGAAGGGTCCGGGAAGAAAGTTTGCTCCTCATTCTTTGGTGATGTGTAAATGTATTGCCATTGGCTCTTACTAGGTAGCTCTAAGCCAGTGATGGAAAAATGTTTTCATTGGCAGGAGAACACGTTTTACATCCACATACATGCATATCTACTTTGGCAGACTGCAGAATCTGGGGCTCAGGCCCGTCCAACTCCTCTGTCTACTGGATCCTTCCCGTGCTTCAAGGCCCTGCGCAGCGCTGCCTCCTGGTGATGTTTTCCTTGACCATTCTCCCCGATCACAACTCTTGTTGCAGTGACCATCTCCACCACAGTGAGAGCAGATTTATGGGAAAGTGAAGAAGCGTAACATTGGGATCTCCTGGAGCTAAAGACAACTCCCAAGATCCCAGAAGCGCCCTTGCCTGAGCCCGAATGGTCATAAGCTTTAGGCATAAATGTAAAATCAGATTTTAACCACAATCGGCTAAGGATGTTTTCTCTTCCCACTTTGTTTCCCTGTCCATCAATTTCCTTGAGGAGGTGTGTGATGATGGAGAGGCCATGGGTACCTTGGGGATGCCAGCTAAGGAGGGATTGAGTCAGAGATGTATTTTCTGGGGGTTCAGTGAGATCTACTTATGTGGTCCACACTCATTTCTATGGACAGTTAAGAAATGGTGATTTGCTCTCTAGTCATGGCTTCCAAAACACTCATGCTCAGGGAACAGTCATGGGCATCTCAGGTCCTACTGATTATATATCCTGCAAAGCCTGACACTGGAAATGTGTGGGTGATGGAAAAGAACCAGGGTCAAAAAGCATAGTCCGCAAAGGCCATCTATGGAATGTTCTTGCAGTCATCAGATGCATAAAATGATGAGTGGATTATTTGGTTCTCACTGAGGTCTCATCAAGACAGAATGACCTTCAGGAAGATATTCAAGAATGCAGTGTATATAATAATGATGCACCACATTTACCATACTTTTAAAATAGGAATCAGAGTAAAACAGAATTGATTAGAATTCTTGTTTGTAGAGCATGCAACTATAGCAATATTCTAAACTGCGAAGTATTGTTTTTGTGCATGCCAAGCTGCGTTTTTATGTCTACCAACATATTGAATCAATCTTAGCATATCTGATTCACCTTATCCTGATGAACTCTGGCAATATCAGAAACACTGACATTTAAAAGCACTAAAACCTCAGCAAAGCAATCTAAGTGTTCCTGGAACAAAACACTCACATATTCATCCACAAGTTATTATACATAGTTTAAGGGCAATTTGATTAAACAGTTGTGTAGCTCAATCCAATATAATAGCATTTTTTCTTACCATTGTATTGCCTTTTTTTTTAGAATGGCATTTAAAAATACATTTGGATTACTTTCTCTTCTGTCTATGATAATGATTTTGCAAAATTGTCATATGAGGAGATGTTCATACAAAAAGTATGCATTCAAATGAGTAGGGGAAAAAAGAGAATAATAGAGGTACAGTATATATTTTTTTAGATTTTGTTGTTTGTGGTATTTTCCCCCTTGAAAAAAATGTGCAATGTATCTGGATAGGGTGACACATGCCTATAATCCCAGCTACTTGGAGGCCATGGCAGGAGGATCATAAGGTAAAGGCTGACTGGAACAATTAGCACGATCCTGTCTCAAAATAAAATACAAAGGGCTGGAGAGGTGGTTCCATGATACCGTGTCCCAGGTTCAATATGCAGTATTTAAAAAAAAAAAGTAGCCATGATAGTTTGTGATTTGGAAATAATTTTGACCATACAAAACTTTGTGTGGAAAATAAATAGTGTAGTTTCCCAATACTCCCAGTTCCACTATTAATTCCATGTCTGTCTCTTGGCATTTATCTCCAGCCAGTTCATTGTAAGTGTGGCTTTGGTTCAGGCTGCCTGAGTTGACTTCCGCCTCCCCAGCCCCCACCCCCACCCCAACCTGTGACCCTGGGAAATAGACTAAATCTGTTAGTGCCTCCTCTGGAAAAGGAGGGTAAGTGCCTTTTAGGGGGTGCTGTTAGGGGTTTAGAACAGCACCTAACATGCTGTACTCATTATGTGTTAGTTTGAAAAATTCACATGTTACAGTTTCCCTGCTGTTATTGCATGTGCCTAAGTATATTGGTCTGGCTCCTCCCAAGACTGTAAACCCAAGATTAAAGATTAATGGAAAACATCTTGGGCCTCTCACAAGTCCTCCAAAATGCGTGGATGTGAGCGCCCTCTAGCTGCGGTCCCTCCGTTCTCGTGGCCACCAGGCGACGAAGTCAGCGGATCTGGCTGTCCGCGAATGGTAGGGGATTTGCCCCGACTGAGGACCCTCGGTGGAGCGACAGAAATTCAGAACCAGTACTTGGGGAGTTACTCACAAGAAGTCAGAGACCCGTCAGAACCTAAGGGTGTCTTGCGGTGTGATGGGGAGAGGAGGAGAGGTCAGGATAGAGAGACTCCAGGGGCAGGGAGCAAAGGCTGCCTTCCCTCAGCCCCGGAAAGGGCGCTCAGAGCGGGGCTCGACGGTGGTCTTTAAGGAAGGTCGTGTGGAAAGGGGGATGGAGGGCAGAGAGACCTTGCCAAGATGACACGGCTCTGCAGCTGCCTGGGACAAACAAAACAAAACCCAAACGAAAAACAAAGCAAGGGGGAGTTGATAAAAAGATCAAAGGATGGCCAAAAGGTGCTTAATCAAAGGTAGCTGGGTGTATCCCTTATCACGTTAAAAGACTCTCCTTAAGGAAAAAAAAAAAAAGATACTGGTAGATTAATCAGCCTTAGGTTGTAATAGAGGATACAGTGGTTACTCACCTCCCCCAATTCACAATCTGATATGAAGTGAAAAAAGCCTATTCCAGAGGAGCATGGAACCAACTTTATTAACAAATATGAAAGAAAGAAAGAAAGAAACCAGAAAGAAAAGTAGTAAAATATGAACTGTGCTTATTCAGAGGAGTTGCATTGTGAAAGAAACTTTTATTCCTTGTACGATTATATAATCCTCCATTGTAATAAATATCTATTACTTCTGTAGTTAGAAAAGCAGGTATTTAGCCAGGCACAGTGGTGCACGCCTGTAATCCCAGCAGCTCTGGAAGCTGAAGCAGAAGGATTGTGAGTTCAAAGCCAGCCTCAGCTACTTAGCAAGGGCCTAAGCAATTTAGCAAGACCCTGTCTTAAAATAAAAAATAAAAAGGGATGGGGATGTGGCTTGGTGGTTAAGTGCCCCTGAGTTCAATCCCAGGTACAAAACAAACCATGTATTTAAAAGCGATAAGTAAATATCCATTTTTAAGTGGATGTTGTTTTTTGCATTCTTTCCCTAATGTTTTTTGATAATTTGGTCTAGTTCTAAATTGTAATTACAGAATTTAAAAACAGCTTGTCTCTCTGGGCATGCTGGTGCATACCTGTAATCCCAGCTCCTCAGGAGGCTAAGGAAGGAGGATCACAAGTTCAAGGCCAGCCTGATCAATTTAGTGAGTTGTCCTGTCTCAACATAAAATGTAAAAAGGCTGAGGATGTAGCTCTGTGGTAGAGCGCCCTGAGTTAATCCCCACCACCACAAAAGAAAACGAACAAACAAACAATAGCTGTCCTCATAAAGGAAACACAGCATAATATTCCACATAGAACAGACTCCATTTCCATAATCAAAATTGGATCAGCATGTTGATCCACGAATAAGAAAGAAGTCATCCAGCATGATGTGGAAACTAAAACTGCAAAAGATAATTTGACAATATAAAAATTTAAACTTCTGGGCTGGGGATATAGCTCAGTTTGTAGAGTGCTTGCCTTGCATGCACAAGGCCCTGGGTTCAATCCCCAGCACCACAAAAAAATAAAGAAAGAAAAATAAAAAAATAAACTTCTATTCAAGAAGGCCTACCATAAAAGAAGGTTGAAAGATAATCAAACTGGAGGAAAATATCAGCAATATACATGACAAAGGATTTGAGATCTATAATATATAAAAGTTGCAACAAGTCAATGAGAATCTGATATTCTAAATAATAGAAAAATAGATAACAGGCAATTCACTAAGAAAAACAATTCAAAAATATATTGAACAGTGCTGGGTGCAGTGGTGCTCGCCTGTAATCCCAGTGGTTTGGGAGGCTGAGGCAAGAGGATGGAGAGTTCAAAGCCAGCCTCAATAATTTAGGGAGGAGCTAAGTAACTCATTGAGCCTCTGTCTCTAAATAAAATACAAAGTAGGGCTGGGGATGTGCTCAGTGGTTGAGTGCCCCTGAGTTCAATCCCCAATTGAAAAAAAAAAAGTCAATCCTAAGAGTAATTTTATAAAGATGTAAATTTTCATCTTGGAGATTGGCCTTGCATGCAAAGAATGATATTTGTTGTTGACTGAGATGTATATTGTATACAAAAATATATTTCACACTTTATAGGTAGAAATATAAATTGTCATGCCTTTTTAATTTTGGTCTTGGAAAGTAATTTGGCTTCTAGGAATTTTTTTTTTCTTTTTTCCTTCTTCTCCTCCTCCTCATCCTCCCCGCACTTTTTGCGTGCCAGACAAACCCTCTACCACTGAACCACATTTCAAGCAAATATTTAGACTTTAAAATCGATATCTATATCTATATATTAGTTGTTGATGGGCCATTTATTTATGGTGCTGGGAATCAAACCCAGTACACATGCCAGTCAAGCACTCTACCACTGAGCCACAACCACAGCTCAAATGTTTAGGACTTTTTCTTACAGTACTTGTACAAGTACTCCAAGACATATGTAAAAAGATGTTTATTACAGTATGCCTTGCTAAAGCCAAGAAGACGAAGAAGAAGAAGAAGAAGAAGAAGAAGAAGAAGAAGAAGAAGAAGAAGAAGAAGAAGAAGAATAGTAGTAGTAGTAGTAGGAGGAGGAGGGGGTGGTGAGGAAGAAGAAGGAGGAAGAAAAGAAAGAAAGAGTCCAGAGGCTGGGGTTACAACTTAGTGATAAGAGTGCTTGCCTAGC